CTAATAGGTCATTTTCGATCGGACAACTGGCTCTATGACTCTGAGAAAGGAATGGAAAGAAAACAGCGGAGACGACAGGAGCACGAAGCGAAACAGTAAAGTACCGAATCACACAACTGTTTATTAGGAAAAAACCTAAACACAGGAAATTTACATCGGAGCTTTCGGGCAGTGGGTGGTTAACAGGTGCTCCTTTGTGGTTTGCTCCTTCTTTCCAATAAAAAAAAATGATAGTGTCCTTACTTCTTCTCTTCATTTTCTGTACGTGTTAATATCTTATGACAACTCAGCATTTATATGATTTATTTGTGTGGCAAATGCTGTAAAACTATTATATAAACTAATAGTGATGATAATAATAATAATAAAAATAATAATAATAATGATAATAACAATAATGATAATAATAACAATAATAATACGTGTAATAATAATATATCGCATGTACCAGCTTCACAGCAAACTATATGCACCATACAATTATTATTACCCCAGCAGACCTTCGATAACGCAGAACATAAATTGTTCAGCTTCCCAGGAAGCATACCGTTCAAGCAGCTAATCAAAGTTAAAACAACCTTTCTCGGAAATGAACGCGATTTACTTATAGTGAGTGATCTAGTCCAGCGCTGACTTATATGTTCTTTGACAATAACAACCTAGGCTGTTGTACAATAATTGACTTTGGTGCCGTTATGATGTGGTTGCTCTTAAAAGAAAAGAAAATCGACAAATAAATTCTTTTATTATTAATTTTTCACTTACACTAACCTAAATTTAATCCCAGAAAGCATTTTTCCCCAGGAAAAGTAATTTAAGCTGTTTCACTCTTTGAACAATTACTGTACTTTCTTTATGAAACTTCTTGCATTTAGCCAACATTTAGAATTTGAATTTTGTCAAATATTTCTTGAACATGTGAAACAGATACCACAAATGAACAAACTATACGTTAACTTCCCTCCCCTCCCCCCGGCCACACACACATACACATATAAACAAACACACAAATACACATACTATTCATTTTGAACAGCTGAGAGTTGTTGTATCATTTTGGAAGCGGGCGCCTTTTTATTTTAGGGAATGAGAAACATCCCAGCAGAAAGACGAAAATATTTGACACAATATCCTACTCATGTGAAGATCGAGCAAGCATCTTTTGCGTCAACGGTAAAACGTTGAAACATTTCCTCGTAAACGTTGGTGCTCTTGAATATAGGCTGTGTGTTTTGGGAGAAATTTAATGTAAGTGTGTAATAAAAAAAGTAATCAATATACGATTTTGGCAGCACGCAACCAACCGATTAGATGCCACTGGATAGAAGAGGTTTTTCTATGTTAACCAGTTTAATCTATGCTTTTTTAAAATGAGTTTTGAAATGTTCTGCTCAGAACTTGTGTGCTTTTACGAGAAAATGAGATCGCTTATCGGAGTCAGCTACTTTATCTTGTAATGACAGCCATAGCCATTTTGAAGGTTGTCTAGACTAAAGGAATGTGGGTTATTTTAGTGAAATAGTAAAAGTTTAAAAAATACTTGAGAGAGAGAGAGAGAGAGAGAGAGAGAGAGAGAGAGAGAGAGAGAGAGAGACAGAAAGAGAGAAAGGAGAAAGAGAGGGAGGAGGAGAGGTACTCCGGAGCAGATATATAATAACAATAATAATATATGAATTTGCAGGGTGATAAAAAAACAACAACCCCAAAAAACAACAACCCCAAAATCTTTACAACTTTTTACTGATTAACTCGCACAAAAAATGTTTTAGAATGTTATAATTTAGAACAGACGTAATCCATTCAAAAGGAATTTGTGTCGCATAAAATTCACGAGAAACTTATTTTGAAAATAAAAAATGGTTTAAAGAAAAAAGCACCCATTAGCGCAAAATGCACCTATTCAAAATATGTTGTAAGGAAAGTCATGAACCGATTGATTTGCTTTTTATCTTTCCTATTCTTCTAAACATTTGTCCCATCCCAGTAATATTTAATGAGTGGTTCATTTCTCTTTTTTTAGAATTAAAAAGCTCTCTGTACATACAATCTTATTTTCGTGCGAATGAATGATATTGAGAGGGGGGGGGGGGGAGTACGTGTATATGTGTGTGTAACAGATTAAGGGAGAGGGTAGTTGAGAGAGAGCAAAATATAGATAGATAAAAAGATAGATAGATAGATAGATAGATAGATAGATAGATAGATTGATAGATTGATAGATAGATAGATAGATAGATAGATAGATAGATAGATAGATAGATAGATAGATAGATAGATAGATAGATAGATAAATAGATGGATAGAGAGAGATAAAAAGAGAGAGAGACAGGAAGAGATAAAAAGAGAGAGAGACAGAGAGAGTAGAGAGTGGCAGAAAGAGAGGAAGACGGGATCGGGGGAGGGGGGGGGGGGGGGTGACTGGAGGTAACATAATAATAATAGATAGCATTTGTATAGCACAAATTCCCGCTCAACAGCAAGCTCTATGCGCTTCACAATCTATACTATTACCCCAGCAGACCTGAGAACATTCTGAAACAAACTCAACTTCCTGGGAAGCATACAGTGCAAGCAGCCATTTATAGGCGCTAAAACACTAACATACTGACAAGGTCTTTCGCTGTCTGTTGCTGGGTACCCATTTCCACTTGGGTGAAGTGAGGAAAATTCGAGTAAAGTGCCTTTCCCACGGACACAATGTCGGGCCGGCGGCTCGAACCCCCGACTCCGCAACCTCACGATTACGGGTCTGGTTGCCCAATCACTAGGCCACCGACGCCACAAGGGTAGCAATGGATGCAATATGCGTCTCTCTCCCTATTACACTAACAGTAAACGCTTTACGGAATCTGCTGGTTATGGTCTGAAGACAATGTACGTGTAATTGTATGAAGAGAGAATGAGAGACAGAAGGCATAAGTGCCTGGTAATGATTGTCTTTTATGCTTTTTAAAAAAATGGGCGTGCAGTAAAGGCCGCCATGAAAGGTGCATTTTAAGTTTGTTGTTGGCATCTACTCTGACTTTCATACCCCCCCTCCTGTCCCTCCTCTCCCATCCACCCCTTCCACCCCCACCCCTTCCCTACCCCTGTAGTGCCGGTGCAGTTTACGTATTCAGGCCTGGCGTGCCGCTATTTCAGTTAGTTTTAGTTTTAGTAGAGGTTTTACGGCGCTCTCAACTGCATAAGGTCATATGAGCGCCAGAAGATTAGAAGTGTTACAAGGGAGTAACAAACATAAAAAAGAAGAAGGGTAGGGGAGATAACGACGATAGATGTTTGATAGGAAAGAAGAAGCAAACCACACCAGAGCACCCGCCAACCACCCACTTCGCTGTTTGATGTTCAGAGTTAACGTAATCGACCCAGGTTTGTTTCCTCAAAGCAGATAGGATTCTTGAGTTTTTTGAGTGATTTTTTTAGGGAGTCTTCCTTGTTCTCATTATGTATTTTTGCTGTTGTTTAATTTTCTTTTTCAAAATTCTTCTTTTGATGGATTTCATGATGCATGATGCCATGGTTTAACAAGACCAAAAAGAGCAAATAAACCACACACGCAGGGAGAAAGTGTGTGTGTGTGTGTGTGTGTGTGTGTGAGTGTGTGTGTGTGTGTGTGTGTGTGTGTGTGTGTGAGTGAGTGTGTGTGTGTGTGTGTGTGTGAGAGAGAGAGAAAGAGAGAGAGAGAGAGAGAGAGAGAGAGAGAGAAAGAGACTGACAGACAGACAGACAGACAGACAGGCAGACAGACAGAGACAGAGACTGAGACAGAGAGAAACACACACACAGAGACAGAGAGAGAGAGAGAGAGAGAGAGAGAGAGAGAGAGAGAGAGAGAGAGAGAGAGAGACAGAGAGAGAGAAGCAGAGAGAAACAGACAGACACCAAGAGAGACACACAGAGAGAGGACTTTAGAACGAGAGTTGAAGCGAGTGATTAGGGCATTAAAAATACAAAATAAAAATGTTTGATTTAATCTCTTCCGCTGCTTGATATTTAACGATCTCTGTGAATCAGAGCGTGTCTGATTTCCAGAAACCCTTTCAAGTGCACACGCTGCAGTTGTTACATTCGATGGATTAAAAAGACTTTTTGAATCCGCCCCAACATTTCTCAACGCATTGCCCCAAATTATAATAAAAACAAATAAGCAAACAACCCTCTCAAATAGCACGATACACAAACAGCAGAAACCTTTAACAAACAAACGGACAAACAAACATGCAAACAGATACTGACAAACAAAATCACGACCTTGCAAATTTCATTACATCACCGTCTCTGTACACGTTTATATATTATATCTTAAATAGAAACACACACACAGTCATAGACTCACATACGGGAAAACAAATACACCCACAAATACATACATACATTACCCGGCTTTCTATGAAGCCCATAGCATCAGACACACAATTTGTGACAAGCACATACTGAATATTCGTCGGAGAAGTCGTGGGTTCGATTCCCTAGAGGAGAGCGGGGTATTTTACGAGTATCTCTCTCCACCGGGCTGTATCCCAAGTGGCCAGTGCTGGTGTTGACACACAAGTCCCAACAGATGGACGCTGTCAATTACAGCGAAAGACATAGACGAAACAAAGCCAAAACTCCTACGTACTTAGTCACGCACATTCACGAAAGCACAAACAGGTACACACGCATACAGTCACACATACGCATATATATATATATATATATATATATATATATATATATATATATATATATATATATATATATATATACATACACACACACACACACACACACACACACACACACACACACACACACACACACACACACACTTACACATGAACACACACACGTTCACATACACAAGCCTAAACACACACACACACACTCACACACACACACACATGCGCGCGTACGCGCGCACTCACACATATACACACATATATAAACAAAAACACACACGCACTCACATACACACGCACGTGCGGATTCACAAACGTACCCAATAGTGAAATAATTACCCCTTTGCTCCACATCTCTCTCGTCTCTCAAGGCTTCTGTCTCGTAATTATTCACACCAGGTTATCTGTTAGCAGGAT